CTGGTCCGCACTGCCCTTAGAACAGCCTCCTGCAATTCCCTGCTCCTTCACATCCTTGCCCGTGTTGCTCGTCATGTTGTATGACTCAATGGCATAGTGAGGCACAACCTTTGGGTTTGCACTCAGAAATCTTCCCATAGCTGTTAAGTGCTCCACCTTTTCCAGGGCACCCTCCCAGTTTTCTTCTTGGGCATTCCACTTAATCCTTACTTGCTGTGGTGTCCCCGCTAACTTATCCGCTACATGCTGCCAACAACGTTTATTTTTTTCGGCAGCATTTTGTCAAAACATTCGTAGTTGACCTCCATTGTTGTTACCAGAAGGAAATACCTCTCATCAGTCCACTTCTCTCCTTCCACCCATGTGCAGAAAGGAGAATGAGCATCCAGCTCTTCAAGGTGCTGCAATGATATTCCACATGTCTGATTTTTGTGGGGAGGCACAACAATGGTCTCCCTGCTTACATTATAACAGAAGGACTTCTGCCTCCTCACGGCTAGCAAATATCTACGTCAACGACGGGATTCAGTACAAAGTCTTACAAGTATGGAAAGGCGTGGCTGAACTGGATACCTGGAGGAAGTAACGCGATGTCGTGTGTTCGTGAATCAACTGCTCAATATTCGGCGCCAACAAGTAAATGTGCATGCGAACATTTCTGAGCGCGAGGTTTTGCGCTTACCAATATTTGTGGGTGGACATTTGTGTACGGGTATTTCAGTGCATCAAATTGTGTAAGCTGATTCGGGGGGGGGGGGGGTGCGCAATGTAGCACGTCAGGAAAGTCAAACTCTTCACCAAACTTCAAAAAGAGTCTTCTGGCAGTGCTATATTATGATAGCGATACACCGGTTGCGATACGGGCGGCACCTGGGCTCTGAGCGTGCGCTTGGGTCCGAGGCTCTGGCTTACCTAACCCTGGACCACGCAGGGCCCTTTTTATATCACTGTCTGGGCGCGCTCTGCCCTTGGCGTGACGCACACAGTCTGGATGCTCACGAGGCCGAGTCGACGCGTTGCATGATCAGCGCGTGATCCTGCGTACAGTACAGTTCTGCAGCGCGTGGTGCACGGGTGAAGGTCACGTGGGGCGTTGTTTCGCGGCTGCGCCCAACGATAATCATTGCGTGGCGTCGCGTTTGTTAATGTTAGTCTAGACAATCGAGGTAAATCTGGCTCCGCTTGCGGCATAATGTATACACTATGCTGCGTCGCTAATGTAGCGACGGGCGTGTCGCCGCATCGGGCCGCGTGCCGTCGGCGGACCGCGCGTGATGGTGAGACGCAGGCACAGGCGAGCGAGGGTTAAAAATCTGGAATTGCGCGGGATAAAACCACAGACAGATGCTACAACAAGGCCCCTTCCCTCCCTTCCCCCGAAATATTGCGATGCTCTTGTCCGGTCACGAACGAAAATCAAGTCGCATTTTACGCACTGCAAGATCTGAAAAATATCCTTACCTGTTTGGGGCCGTAGTCGTAGAGGTGGGTCGCCCTCTCCACCCCTTTCACCAAGGCACACCTAACACACCTCCATTCACTGCAGCGAGTGAACTGCGAATGGATAAGCGCATGCTGTCTAATGAGTCGCTGCACGCAGGGGGGAGGGGGGGTTCGGAACTTAGTCGGGGCTAGACCCGGCAATCCCATGGTGACGCCACCATCGGGACGCCCCAGGGCATTCACGTGTTGAAGGGCATCGCAATGTGTGTTTTTGAATACTCGTTTTCGAATACTTCTAAGCCGTTCCCTCTCATGAAAATAAGTATCAGGACATTTGTCAGTATGTCTCCTAGCAGTACCTGGAGTTGTGGCTGTGGCAGCTGTGGCTGCCCAAATATTCCAACACCAGCCCGTATTCCCACACCTTGTTTTAATCCAATAAGGGCGACTTTTGCGACTATTAGAGGTGATTATCACCCTTACTGCCACGGAACGTCTCTAACTACGGTCCAGTTACGGGTAACTTCGAACCGGTGATACGTATAAACGAGCGATCAGCTCAATGGAAGGGAAACATTGGAGTATGCAACCGCTGAGAAGGCGACGACGGCTACATTTAATGTATTTAACGGTTACATCGTGTCTCGGAGCCAGCGGGAGTCGGAGCTGACACTCGATGGTCGTGGGCATCGTTCAGGGCTTCCAGGGATGTCCTGTTGTATGCCGTGTTCCTGGGAGCTTCTCGTAGGCACCTGTGGCCCTCCTGTTCGGCGACCTTTACTCCGTGGGTGGAGGTGGTCGTCAGTTCGCAGCCACGCTTATGACAACCGCCGGAGAAACGGTCGAAGGCGGCGTTGTTCTGATGACAGTCGCAGTAGTGGTTTTGGAGCGCGCGACGCCTCTGCGTGAAATGTCGTTTGTGGTGCTCCCAGAGCCTATGCTGGGCGTCGAAGAATTCCTGCTTAAAGCAGTCCAAGTAGTGGTTTTGGAGCGCACAGCGTCTCGGCATGAAATATGCGTTGTGGTACTCACACACTCACACTCACATTCACTCTCACACTCACACAGTCTGTGCTGGACGTCGGGGACCTCCTGCTTAAAGCTGGTCGCCTCGCTCAGCACGCTCCACCAGGCAGGGGCCAGGGGCTCCAGCGCGCAGCGAACGTTTTCGACCCGATGACGCTAACGTTTGCCTTGCATTGCAACGATTTCCGTGCTGATGAACAGGTTGATGAATGCGTGAGGTTTTCACATCTCGCGATGAAAATGATTGCTCGATGTTTTGCTCCTGGTTTCTGCTGCATATGCTCTTGCTGTTCGTCGTTTGCTTTCGGAATTTCAGCCTCCTCGTTGCCTCGCTATCTGATGTCATGGGAATGACGTTTCGTCCTGCCTGTTGTTGCTGAGGTTGCGCCCAGCATTTGACGTCATGCACTTCCTGACTTCCTGACCTGACTTCCTGATGACGTGCTAAACCTGGGCGCAGGCGTGGGACGTGGCAATGGCTTTCCTTGTTTCTTTCTTGCAACCGTGTTTTTCGGGGAATAGAGGGACAGCGGATGCTCTGTTGTGTGTTCTGAGCTCGAACACTCCCGTGCTCCGGAGATGGCTGGGTGTGCTTCCAACACCGTCGCGATGTTTGAGGGTTGGATGTTGCCGGTAGGGCTTATGCTAGCCACGCGGCTTGTTGGGTCGCGGACCGTTTCTGTTTCGCTTACCTCAAGTGTTGACGGCTCCGTTTGCCGCACTGCTGTGGGATGTCGTTGCGTTATCGTTTGCGTTTGCCTCGATTTTTTGCTGTTTCTTGCCCGTTTTCGAAACACTGCTCGTGCGTGTTAAAATATCTTGAGTCGTCCTCCTCTGGTACGAGAACCGCGAAATGGTTTTCTGCGACATTTGACGTCACGACCGTTTTCGACATTGTTTTTGGGCTCGTCACTAACCGATTGACTGTTGCACATTGGCACCGATTCCTCCCGGCTTACCACGGAATTTCAACTTTCGTCCTTTTTGTTGCGGTGTTTGCTTGCTGGGAAAAGGTGCTATCGGCACCTCAAAGCGGCACTTGCCTTACATATTCGTGGTGTTGTCATCGACTTCTCCTTTCTCAGGGATGCCATGTTGGCAGCCATATTTGCGTCATGTGCCGCGCCCCGTACCCAGAAGCGGCGGCCTCTATTCGACGGTCAGGCGCGTGACACTGGCCGCCCGTGATCAACATGTTTTCAAGTACAACAATTACAACTCCTCACGCTTGCTTAGATTGTGGCAAGCGCATAAGTGCTTGCGTGTTTCCTCCTGTTCTCCAGATAGGAAGAATGGTAAGAGCAGAGTTGTTTTCAAAATATTCCCTTGATCAGTGGCGAAACTGTCTTTCAATATCTTCCAGCAGGCGCAGGTGCCAAAAACCAAATAATTTTGCTCCCTTCCGGTGATCCAGTGACCTGTATGCCTCGCATGGATCGAAACCTGTACTTCAATGGCCGCACCTTGGTTTGAGATGAGCAGCCGGTCCGGCGTTGAAGATCCGCTTGGTCTTGATCCGGGTTGCGGCACCAATGTAACGCTTCACCTTCTAGATCAGCGTTTTTCTGTTCATTGTCCATTAAAACATACGTAAGAGGGTCGTCTATATTCGGCCACAAGATAGTCCGACTGGCTCGCGTTGTGTAAGCTATGCAGAGTCGCAGCCCTGGTGGTGGTTGGACCTCGTCTGACGCTACGCAACATGCGCCAGTCTAGATACACCGCGGGGCCGCGGGGCGTTGGCGGGCGACCTCCAATCTCGGGGGAGGGGGCGCCCCAGAACGTTCTACTGCGCGCAACTCTAGTGCATACTTGCTTACGTAACGAGGCTGCAGAAACGCGTTATGAACTCCATTAGTTAGGTTATCTGATAAAGTGAACAACTCGTAGACCAACTACGAAGCGACAACAAGGTATGAATCATGCACCCCAACAGCGGGCACAGACAAACAGATGATTGGCGTGACCTCAACAGCACAGCGTTTACAGCGTACACGGACGCTCCAAGCGGCAAAAACAATACGTACAAGAAAAGGTGGTGCCGGCGGAATGTGTACGTATGTCTACCCACATGTGTGCGACAGCAACTTGTCGCTTAGCGGGAGGAAATCAGCGTACCGTTCGAAGTATTCGCGGAATTAGAAGTATGTGCGGGGCTGGACTCGCTGTCATTGTCCCCTGGAATGTTTGAAACTCGCTGTCATTGTCCCCTGGAATGGAATGAAAGTTTACTGGAATGACCGCCCCATGTTGCGACGGTACCCGAGCATCCTCCGAGCGCAGACCGGCGGCCGCCTCCGGCCGCGGGCCGCCCGCCGCCGCTGACCGCGCGCGCCCGCGCGCCCCCCCGCCGCTGCCGCTGACCGGGCGCGCTTTCCGTGCCCGGCAGGAGACCGACTGTACTGGACGCGACCGATGGTGATGGCGATGCTGGCCGGCCTGCGACCCCACATGTGGGCGCTGACAGACCGCGGTGGCCTGCCGCGCGGCGCGCTCTGCCCGCAGCGGCGCCAGGCCTTCTACGCCGCGAACGACTCGCTCGCTGCCGCCGGCTACCACGTCGCGCCGAAGGACGTGCTGCAGAAGTGGTGCGTACGCGGCCGGGCAGGCGGGAGGCCTTGTGTGACCGGTGTGGCCGGGGAGGACGGCGTGCGAAGCTGACAGACGGGTTTGGGAGTGGTGGCAGACAGTAAAGCGCCACCCAGGCGCCTTGGACTTCACAGATAAGCACAGAATGAGGCTGTTTGTAAGCAGACGGGTGTGTCAGTATTTTCACTATTTGTGGTGTTCAGCCGACTCGTGGTCTTGACACCAAAAGTCCGTGGATGTTGTTAACGGTTGGACGGCAGACACTGGACCACAACGCCGTGTTCGTTTTCGTCGGCAGGCAGAACATGTTTGCCACGTACAAACGGATAATGGCGCGGGAGGCCGAATCGGGGGTGTTCAACACCCACTGGGAGTTCTACGACGTGAGTGCAGCTGATTGGTCTGTCGGCTTCCGCACGTCTTCCTGACAGGCGTGGATGTTCATGCCCGCGAAACCTTGTAAGAGTGGGGATCGGGGGACTGTGAGAGGTGTGCGACCGTTGACGCACACTTCGCGCCTTTACAAGTGTATTCGCGCGGCGAAATATATTTTACGGAATTGCTTTCTCAGCGCAGTTGCATTGCCCGAAGCTGTCCGAAGCCGCACGGTTGCTTTGTGTTTGTTCATATTGCTGTCAAGTCGCGCGTAAGATGCAAATCACCTGGTGGTGATAGTGACGTTGCGGACCGCGTGCGACGGCATCGGAGCTGTGCAGGCAGCGATGCAACAGCACCCCCTGCGGCGCAGCTCCGTGTTCGGGTGCCGGCCGACCGCGACCGGTCGGCCGAGACGCCGTGGGAGGCTCGCCCGCACGGCCAGCGCGTGTCGCGCTCGCACTCACCGGCTCCGCCGCCCCGCCAGGACATGAAGGAGCTGATGGCGGAGCGTAGCCCGCGGAGGCCGGAGAGCGGCGAGGACGCGGAGCCGGACCTGGCGGCGGCGGCCCCGCCGGCCCCGACGCCCGCGCCCGCGCCCAGCGCCATCCAGGGCGTGCTCGTGATCCCGGCGGCGGCGCTGCCCGTCGCCAGCGGCTCGCCACTCAAGCCGGCCAAGCGACCGCGCGTCGAGCCCGCCGCACGATGCCCGGCGGTGGCGGCGGCGGCGGCGGCCGGCCCGGAGCCGCGTGCAGGTAAGGGCGGGACGAGGCGCGTGCGAACGGCGGGTTGGCTCACGGACCGCCCGCCCGCTGGGAATGCCCTTTGTTGCCAGCCCGGCGCTCAGTGCATTGGTGCCTGCTTCGTTTCGCGTTGTTTTGTTGTTGTTGTCAGTCGGCTGTTGCGGTCGCGTTGTTGCGTCTTGCTGGCCGTGTCGCCACGTCTTGTGTTGGCCGTGTTGTTGCGTACCGTTGGCCGTGTTGTTGCGTCTGGTCTGCCTTATTGAAATGTCCTGTGAGCCGTGTTGTTATGTCTTGTTGGCCGTATTGTAACGTCTTGTTGGGCGTGTTGTTGCGTCTTGTTGGCCCCGTCGCCACATCTTGTGTTGGCCGTGTTGCCACGTCTTGTGTTGGCCTTGTTGTTACATCTTGTCGGCCGTATTGTAACGTTTTGTTACCTCCGTTGTTACGTCTTGTTGGCTGTATTACCACGTCTTCTGTTGGCCGCGGCGAGGGCTCACGACGCGACACGGCACTGTGCTGTGTGTGTGCCATTACGTCGATGTTGGTGCGATGGTCCGCACAGAGTTTGTCCGTCGCCGTGCCGTGCCAACTGATTCCGCACGCCACATGGGATGTTAACGCCGGTGTTCGCCCCCAGCGGTGGCCGCCGCGCCGGCGGAGGAGTCGGCGGCGCCGCCGCCCTGGTTCCAGCAGTATCTGGAGCAGGAGCGGCGGGACCGCGAGCGTACTGCGACCGAGCGGCGCCGCGCCTGGGAGGAGGAGAAGCTGCGCAGGCTGGAGGCCATGCACCGCGAGAAGGTGGCGCTGCTGCGGCAGCTGATCCAGGCTGTCAAACGGCGCGAGGACCGGTGATGGCACGGGCGCAGTTGATGGCGCTGGGACAGCTGATGGCGCTTGCACAGCTGCTGGCACTGGCACAGCTGCTGGCACTGACACAGCTGATGGTGCCGGCACGGCTGATGGCGCTGGCACAGCTGATAACTGTCTCAAGGGAGCTGATCCAGCTCGTGGGACGGTGGGGTTGGAGGCTGCCACTGGGCGGTCGTCCCGGGTCGCCGGACTCCATCGCCCGACGACTGCAGCCAGCCGTCAATGATAGATGGCCGGCCTCCCCACCCGCCGCCCGGTAGATGGCGCTGTAGAGGCGCGGCGCGAGATGGCGCTGCCCGCGCCCGGCGGTCGCGGCGGTGCTCACTGTGTTTTGTGCTGTAACCATGTGTCAGTGTCATCTGTGACGCGTACAAAGGGGATGTGGGAGCACGACATTGTTGGTATGCCGGTGGATGTGAAATGCCGACAGACTTGACGTCTTTGCGTCTGCTATAAGTGTCGTTTGGTTCACTGCTTCGGTCATCACTCATGATGGATACAGTACCTGAGTTGTCTGCCACTGAGAGCGAGTGCACCGGTTAGGACACTGTTAGGCTGACATTGTGTGGGGGGGGGGGGGGGCTCTTGTCAGTGGATTCAATGAACATGTAGTGGCGGTGTACATGTATGATTTAATTTTTCCGTCACCCTTGTCCTTGTTTGCGAGTACCACGAATCTCCAAATGGCGAAGTATGCATAAGTGACCTTGAGTGTGTTTGTCATCCGCCACATTTGTACTTTTGCTCGAATCGAAGTTGAATATATCGCCAGTGCTACCAATGCAATGTGTTTTGTCGTCCCGGGTGCTATAGTTCACCTCCGGCTACAATTAACCCTCGGCTGCGATAGTTCACTCTCCGGCTCCGATAGTTTACTCTCGGGCTGCGACAGTTCACCCTCCGGCTGCCATAGTTCCCCCCTTCCGGCTGCGATAGTTTCCCCTCTGGCTGCGGTAGTTCGCCCTCCGGCTGCGGTAGTTCCCCCTCCGGCTGCGGTAGTTCCCCCTCCGGCTGCGGTAGTTTACTCTCCGGCCGCGACAGTTCACTCTCCGGCTGCCATGGTTTTCCCTCCCCGCTTTCCCGGCTGTGATAGTTTCCCCTCCGGCTGTGATAGTTGACCCTCCGGCTGCGGTAGTTCACCCTCCGGCTGCGGTAGTTCCCACTCCGGCTGCGGTAATTTACTCTCCGGCTGCGGCAGTTCACCCTCCGGCTACCATAGTTCCCCTTCCCCCCCCCCCCCTCTCTCCCGGCTGTGATAGTTTCCCCTCCGGCTGTGATAGTTGACCCTCCGGCTGCGGTAGTTCACCCTCGGCTGCGGTAGTTCACCCTCCGGCTGTCATAGTTGCCCCCTCCCGGCTGCAATATTTTCCCCTCCGGCTGCGGTAGTTCACTCTCCGGCTGCAGTAGTTTCACCTTCAGCTGGGGCCGTCGAGATCGGAACTCAGCGTCGGTATTTTCTCTCAACGGAACTTCGACCTTTGCGACTGAGTGGCGGGCGTAAATGATTTCCATAGTCGCCGACGTAACATGGCACGTGCGGGTCGGCGTGTTCGTAAGCTCCGGCCGACAAATAGGCTACAGCAGCAGGAGCGGGTTCGGCCGGTACCTGAGGCACCTGCCAAAGTCCTACGTGTCCGTGGTGGTCCCAAACCACGCGAAACACCACACACCACGCGACTGAAATCATAGCTTTTATTCTAGCAGGTCTGAAAGTTAACGACAGGCTCGAGTGCAGTTCCACCTCACAGCGTGCTGCCGCCGTCCCGGGTCCGGCGGGGTCGAGGCTGAGCGGATTCACAGGGATGGATGGCGTAGGATTCGCGAAGGACGGCGGTGTCGCACACTGCCGCCGTTCGCCAAGGCAGCAAAGTTCAGCGCAGGAGACGCCCGATACCGTACTCTGGAGCCTCCGACACGTTCAAAAGAGGCGGCCGCTTGATGAAAACCGGTTTGAAAGGTGTCTTGGCAGGCACCGGCGGGTGGCGCGCGAGCGTGCTGTAGATCCACTCCGAGACCAGCGCTCCGAGAGCTGGTCAGCGCTGCCGAGACCAGCGCCCCGTCCGGATGGGGACCCGCCGGGGGCCCGCGGGGGTCGCCGTAGGGGTGGGGGCGGAGCGCTGGCCACAGGCAGGGTCCCCGTGCCCCGAGGCGAGCGGGCACGGCGGCGTGCGGCGCGCGGACAGTTAACGACAGGCACAATCGCGACACGGCAAACGCAGCTAACGCGTCCGTTAACGACACAGGCGGGCGCACAGCACAGGCGTCCCCCGGAGCCTCTGCCGTCGCAATGGCCCCGCCCGATGTAACCGTGGCATCTGGCGGCCAAAAAGTCAGACTCAAGCCGAAAAGCCGGTCTTTTCAAGGGTTAGTTTCCACGCCAGAGACGTTGCACATGAAGCACGGGTATGGGAAAAATAAGAGCTCCACACACTGGTACAGAAGTCTGAACCAGATCCCGTGACGTAAGGGACATCTGGAGCAGAAGCAGCACACAGAAAACGGCTGGCTTTGCCCAACAACCTTGGCATATCCGGCCCTATCACAACAATCGGCCAGAAAGCCTTGGGTCTACGTGCTAGCGGATACGCTGACCGCTGCAGATTGCAGAGCCCAAAACCCTATCCGGGCCATCGGCACGCTCAAACGTTCTCCTCATTGTTCTTGCGCGCTCAGAGATCCCGAAAATCAAGCTAGCAGCATGCTTGCAGCGGCTGCCCCGCACACTCAGCCTCCTCCGGCAGCAGCCCGGAAGCCAGCGTGCTTGCGCCGGCTTCCAGGCGCGACGCTAGCGCCGCCGGCCGCGGCGGTCGACGACCGAAGCTCTGTCGGCGGGTGCCGGCGTCGGCTGGCTGCGCGCCGGTCGCTCCGCCCGGCTTTAAGCCAGACGGGCGGCGAAAACGCCCAGCAGGAGCAGAGAGAGCCCAGCCGCCGCTGAAACACGACGGGCCGTTAGAAGTGCGAGCCTCAGCCATCATGACCAGTCTAAAATCACACATCCGAAAGCAGGTCGTGCACGATACTGAAGCTGCTCGTTGCTGGCTGTTTGCTGGCATCATAGATTTTTCGCTTTTCGACGTCATTGTCGTCGAGATACAGTGAATACATCATTGCGCTGTACCTACGAACTACGACACGCAGCATATAAGACTGCGATGGCCCAGCCCAGCCCAGCCCATAGCCTGTCCAAGGACGACTACCGTCAGCGCCGGACCTGCCGCCTACCTGAGCGAGCGCTCCTGGACTTCAAGTTTTCCTCGAAAACCATGAGCAGTGCCTCCTTCGCGTCATCCGGCAGCTTCTCCATCTGTTCGTCACTTATCGCGAGCGCCGCCTCCGTGGACAGCTCAAGCACCTGAGCCTTCGTCAGCCCCTGCGGACGTGACGTCACCCCGTCAGCAGCTGTGACGTTGGGTGACGTCACAGCGTAAGCGACTGGTGATCGCAGTGCCTTCCGGCGTTGAAACCAGGTGAACGTCACCATCATCGTTCAACACATTTTCGTCACGAGTGTGTTGGAGGGGGCCGTTCGGCCCAGGGCTAGACGAAGGGGAGGGGGGAGGGAAGGAGGGACGGACGAACGCGTAATCACGAGTGAAATTCTGCGCACGGCTGCGTGAAAGACATGCCAGGACATGTCCGGAGGGGGGGACCTCCGCAGCCGCGTGAGGGAGCAGACGTGAGGTCGTACCGCGATCTTGCTGGGCGGGATGCTCATCATGCCATCGGCGCTCAGTCCTCGCATCGACTCGTCCTTGATGCTTTTCAGCTTCATCGCCTCCAGCCCGCCAATCACCGCTCCCACGCCAGCCACCTGGCCAATGAGAATCGCTTACCAAGGTCACCTTGCTTTACATATGCTGCTCGCAACGCGCAACGCCTTTCCTTGCTACGAGCCGATGACGTTCACGTCACAAGAAAAGACAATTACGATCATAGATGGCGCGTGTCAGAAAATCATCGGCGGTGGGCAGAGCTGGCTCGCTGGCGCCATAGCCGCGTTCAGAACCCAGGTCCCCGCGCTGCGCCCCAGCCTAGATCCCCCGCCCCCCCCCCCCCCCCCCCCCCGCTCTTCCACTTCACCCCGTCCCTAGACGCGGCCTGAGGCCACAGCCCCACCTCACTCATCCCCCAGGTGGATGGTTCGCCGTAGATGGCGACGGCTTTATCGGCCAACTTCTCGGCGACGGCTTGTTTGCACCAGTAGACCTCGGAGAGCACCGTCATGGCCTCCCTGCCGCGCAGAATCGGTGTCGCGTCACAGGTCACAGCGGGGACAGTGTGCGTGAGCTGCGGCCCGGTGCCGTGAGGGCAAGGCCGGTCACCTTGACAGTCCCAGGGCAACATCGCCTGCTAGCCGCGGCTTAGCTACAGGGAGCTCTAGCACTGCAGTGCGAGAGGCAAAAATCGGCCATCTTTGTGTCGAAGGAGAACACCGCCTGCATGACGCGAAATGAAACAAAGATGATCTCAGCAGCCGCTTAGCACATCTGCGCACCGTGCCAAGTATTTACATAGCGCATGCTATAGCATATAAGTAGCTTATTTATCCATATTTTAGACCGGGCCGTGCTGCACGGCGTCTCACTTGAAGCGCGCCGCCGGAATGCTCGCCACGTCGGCCGGGGCCATGCCGCAGATGATCTGGCCCAGAGTGCCCACGGTGTCCGCCGTGTAGTCGGCCGCGCTGCCAGACAGCACACTCCACTGGGCCTTCGCCCGGGTCGCCAGTGCATCCAGCTGCCAGCGAGCGGGGCGGGTGAGGCGAGTGGCGCCACGCGGCGGAAGGGTGCGCCGTGCTCGGCGTCGCGGCCGTGGAGGATAACCAGGGAGCTCGTGGAAGTCATCCGCCACGACACGCATCCCGCACGGCTAAGATTCGTTGGCTCCAACATGACGATTGTATGGGCAAGCGTGGTGTTGTTCATTTCCAGCGGCAAGTAGAAAGGCTTGTGCACGGACAGCAAATACTACGCAGGGAATATGCCGCATCCCGAGTAGATGTCGCCCCCCCCCCCCCCCCACCCCCACCAAGCTGAGAGACACGTAAAAAATCAGGACAACAAGCTTACCTGCGCTTCCGTCATCTTCATAGGCATTCCCAACTCAAAAACGGCATCTTCGGTGGTGAGGTCGAGCATCGCGATGTCGGCGCTGGGGATGACGGAGCCCACGTACCCGATCATGCTCATCGGTACTTTGTCGGCCCCGCTGTACGCCTGCAATGTCGCCAGCATGCGTTTCCACGCCAGCCACGCCCACAAGCCACGCCCGCCACCGCCGTACGTGCGTCCAGCGATCTGAGCGGCGCCCGTCCTTTCACGAATGTGTGCTCTGCATTGTTAGCGTCACAGCGGCAACGACCGGGCAAGCTAGCACGCAGACGGCACCGGCTCACCGAGTAGCCCGCGGCTTACCGGCTCACAGCTCACCGGCTCACAGCCCGCGGCTTACCGGCTCACAGCTCACCGGCTCACAGCTCGCAGCTCACAAGCTCACAACCCACAGCTCACAGCCCATAGCCCATAGCTCACAGCTTACAGATGACGGCTCACAGCTCACGTCTTAAAGCTCACAGTCCACGGCTTACATAGCTCACAATTCAAAGCTCATAGCTCACGGATCACAGCTCACAGATGACGGCTCACAGATCATGCCTCAAAGCTCACAGCTCACGCCTCTCCCGCTCACAACTCACCGGCTCACGGCTCACTGGCTCACCAGCTCACAGCCCACAGCGCACAGGCTCAAGAACAGCACATTGCGGGACTCATGCGCATCCGAACACGACCGAACGGCAGCAGGCTGCACCACTCGTGGTTTAAGCGATTAATTGGGTCGGCAAAAACCTAGCAAACACCGTCATTCGTTTCAGCTCACCCGCCCACTCAGGGCAGACCGCGCGAGCCATACCTCTTTGAGCTCATCCCACACCACCTTCAGCTTGTCCTCGTCGGCCATGACCGAGCCCAGCTGGGCCTGGCACTCCTTGACCTCTTCGGCCGCCATGTCCGACAGCTGTGAGACAGACCACGGTTCGGCGCCGCTGCCCTTCTCCATCACGGCTGCGCAGGTCAGCGGCGGCTCGGCCGCTCGTCGTCGCCTGCGGGCATCAGGGCCGGCCGATTGCTGGACGGCTGGGCGAAGACGTGTGAAGGTCATGGAGTTGTGCTGACTCGACAGGTGGTGCCGCAGGCGTGTCAAAGTTATCTCCCCCGGAGGCCGCAACGGTCGTCATGGCGTGAGAGGTTCGCACCAGTTCATGCGTCGGCCCTCTCAGAATTCTGACCGATTGGCTGGTTCCACCTGGCTTAGTCTGGCTGCCCTTGACTTACCCTAACTGGCTGAACTTGCTTTGACTGACTGACTAATTCTTCATAGCACTAACTTATCATTGGTCACCGTGTCAAGTAGCAGCGTGCTAACCACGAGGCCTCAAAACACATGGGATGGCTTTACAACTGATGCTCCCTAGAAGGCCAACAGCAGCTGCAGCAGTAAGTCAGTCATGATCTTGGGGATTCTTGTCGCCCAGCGACGGATCTATTGGGGTGCAGAGCAGGGTTGCCACCCCCTTACGAACACCCTGTGCGCCCCCTACCGACTGGCTCCGTGTGCTTCGGACCGGCTCGGACTGGCCCAGGCCCGCCTGACCTTGACTCGGGGTGACCTGGCCACCGCCTTGCCCTCACAGAACGCCACTGACTCGGAGTCGGATTGCCGCCGCCTGACCGACCTGGCTGTTGTTGAGGCGCTGGCGCTGGCACTGGCACTGGCGCTGGCACTGCCACTGCCACTGCCACTGCCACTGGCACTGGCGCTGGAGCTGGCACTGACGTCCGCGTTGAGCGAGTCCTCCATCTCCTTCTGTGCCATCATCACGCCGCGGGCCCGGCGGCGACCCACGTTCGCCAGCCGCTCGTTCAGCTGATCGAAGTCACTGGCCCCGATCTGCCGCTTGCAGTTCAGCTACGGCAGCGGGGGAGAGAGATCGTCAGCGGCCTGGTGGACGCACGCTCACCAGGTGGAAGCAGCAATATGTTCCCAGCGCCTTCAGATTCGACGAGTGTTCATCATAAGAGTGGCTTGAGTCGCTGCGAGGTCCCAGGCCTGGACGACTCCGCGGTGGCAGATTGCTCCCCCCCCCCCCCCCCCCCCCGACCGGTCCAGAATTTCCAGTGGTAATCCGGTGGTGCGGCCAGGGAGAGTTTTTAGCATCATCTCCCTCCCCTTGGAAGAAGTGGCAGCGCTAGAGCCTGAGGATCACAGGACCTTTTTTGCAGTTGAAAGTAGAGCTTCTTGAACACAAAATATATCTCCCAGGCACCAACGTAGAATTCTGGGCGTAAAAATTCATCCGAAGTCTAAAACAGAACCCCTTTCGCGTCGAAGAGGCCCCTTGCCTACAAGGGGCCTGGCTACACCACTGGTGGAATCTCTACATCTGTTGCGGACTCCAAAACTACGGGGATCTCTGACTCGAGCACACTCCAGCCGCCGTGAGTCACTGACCTGGACCATTTGGACGTAGCGGACCATGCTGTCGGCCAGGCTGTCGTCCTCACTGGAGCCGGCGCCGCACTCGGCGACGATGCGCGTCTCCGGTATCTCTCGCAGCTTGGCGTCGTCCAGCAGACCCAGCACATCGCAGAATGGCTGCAGACTGAACCACCCGGCCGGCTCTCTGCGAGGCAGAGGTCGCAGGGGTCACGGGTCACGGGTCACGGCGGGCGCGGTGCACGCGGATCCAGCCGGCCGGCGGACTGTGACGGAGGAGCCCTACAGAGTGCAAAGTCGCGGCAACCTGGCTGCGAACAGTCCAGGCCAAAGTGCTGGCCATCCCACAGGAGGAGGAGTCCTATAGGGTACAGAGTAGCGGCAACCTGGTTGCGTCCAGTCCAGGCCGCAGTGTTGGTCGTTCCTTAGGGGTACAGTCGACGGGGATTAGTTGGCTGGCTTCCTGGGACGCATGACTTTTAACACGCACCCGGGAGGCCGGCTAGACACCCTTCGCTCGGGTGGGGGTCAGTTTGACCCCATTGAGATCTCGGGAACTAAGAGAGCTAGAAATACCAAATTTGCAGGGTGTCTTGACATGCATATGAACTCACTTTAGTCAAAGTTTGAGCTTCTTAGGTCATGGTCTTCAGGCCAAATAAGGTCAAACAAGGTCAAATTCCAGGTTGGCTTCTGAAGTGCCTCCAGAACCTAGGCAACTGTTTCTAAGAACAAGTCCACAAGCCCATTTGAGGTCAGTGACCTTGTTTGACTTTCGAAGGTCATGGTGACTTAAACCATGCAAGACTGCCCTGAGTTTTGCATTTGAATAAGCGACAAGGATTACGCTAGGCAGTATGTTCCTAAAACAAAATGTCGACCTGGGTCGTCTTAGGTCAATGACCTGTTCTGACGTCTAAAAAGTCAATGGAAAATGCATAACGCGGTTCCTGCTGTCAATAAATTCGAAATGAGCACCACAAACTATCCCATACAGCAAGCCCTGGAATAATAAATCAGGTTGGTTTTGACCTTGGTCTGACTTTCATACCTGGACTTAGGTCAGCGCAATTTGCTCATTCAACATCCTTGACCTGCCATAGGTGACCAACCTTACAAGGTACATATTCTTATGTCAAAAGATCAGCTATTCAATTGTCTACAGCTATGCAAATTTGGCGCGGCTACGCCATGCCGTTCGGAAACCATTCTGGAGAAACCTTTCGGGGGGGGGGGTCAATTTGACCCCCTCCACCCGAGCGCGTGTTAAGGGACTGATTGGGTCAGTCCGGAATGAATCGGCCCGCCATCCTGTTCCCACGCAGGGGCAAACAAAATACGGCAGAGGCTATTGTCCAGACTGAGGCACGCCCTCGTTTTGCTGTGACGCCGAACGCACGGGCGACCAACGTCGCAGTCCGCACTAAACCAGCCGGCCGGTTCCCGGGGACGCGGAGGTCAAAGGGGTCATAGAGGTCAGGCTGAGCCCATCGGCACGATCCCTATCACACAGAGGTGGCGGGGGTCGCAGAGGTCGGAGTGGTTGTGGAGGTCAGACTGAGCCGGTCGGCAGGATTCTTATCACACATAGGTGACACACTGGTCACAGTTAGGTCAAGCTAGGGTAGCTTAGATTAGGGTAGCTAAGTTAGGTCATAGGTCACACCGGTTAGATGATGCATCAGGCACTGTACTGCGCATGCAACGTGCAGGTCACTGAAGTGATGTAAATATCATAAGCTGGGTCCACGTGACCCTCAGAAGTGACAGGGCAAAGGCAAGGCAAGGCAGAACAAAGCAAAATCAGGACAATGCAAAGTACAATAGGCAGGCAAAGAAGACCAGCAAAATTAGGGATCGGATACACCATAAGTGCCATGTAAGTTCGAGATATGATTGAAATGCAAGATGTTCTCTCTCGGCACATAGGTCCGGTGGCTACTCATCACGAGTCACGGGTCACAGAAGTTAGGGCTTAACAGTTCAGAGGCCAGAGATGATTGTCACGATATCGGTAGCTCAAAGAGCACACAGCTGCAGATGCCAGAGGTCAAGGGGTCAAAGACGCACTCGAAGCGCATGCAAATCACAGGCTGTGTTGGAGTCATCTAAAGCATGACCGACCGGGTCAAACAAGGTGGTGGGTAGAAAACCATCCAACTCTCTCAATGGTAAGTATGATTACCGACGCATGGTACCTACAACTACCATTGTCATCTCCCAACCTCACCCCCAGGCAGAAGCCGCCGCCAGGTGGTGATCAGAAGCGGGTGGCAAAAGCATGCCTGCGTGTGGCCAAACACTTGTAACATGGCTGTCGTACTCATAGCTCTTTATAATTAAACGTAGCTTCGCAATCTGCAATCTCGCGAAGAGAGATCCGACAGACTCGCCGGAAGGTCGGGGTCGAGGTCAGGTTCGGGGTCAGGTTCGGGGTCAGGTTCGGGGTCAGGGTCGGGGTTGGGGATGGAGTCGGCGATAGTGCTTGCAGCACCCCGGTGATGACTGGGGGGTCACCTGAGCACGATAGTTTAATTAATGAGGCTAATAAATCGTCAGCTGGCCTGCTTACCCGTTGAAGCGAATGATTTGACTCTGGATCGCGTCCATCTGACCCTTATCGACGCACTCCCCCTGGGGGAAAACACAATATTGTCACTGATGTACCACTGAGCCAAAACGCCGGCTTGTCAACAGCACGGGCAGAACGTCCAGAGATGACATTCAAATGTAGAGACATGAAATAAACGGTTTACATTCAGTCCGGAAGGAGGAAATATGTCGACACCATGCTATCAGCAACTTTAAGCAGTGCTTCAACGCGGCGTTGATGTCATGCTTCCGCAATGTCCGCATGCGCTGTCCAGTTAAAGTGACGTCGATTTCTCCTAGATATCTCCAGGTCTCTCTAGATTTCTCCTAGATATCTCCAGGTCTTGCGAGCCGTGGTGCGAGAACATTAGACGTGGACACAAACCCGTTCCCTGCCCACATGCCTTGAATTTTGGGAGCATGACTTCGAAGGCGGCTCTGTCCAGCCGTCTAATGCCATCGGGATCCAAGCAGGCCCCAGCGTTGCCGACCGCCTCCACTTCGTCCAGCGTGAGATTGCCGGTGGGTTTCTGTCGAAATGGCGTTGGTGAAGCAAAGATTCGGAGTCGGACATACCTGTTCAGGATGAACGCCTTATCAGCGATACGATTAGCTTGATTTACACTAATAGCTTACACACACTATAGCACTGCAAACTAATTTGATCCGCTTGTTTGATAAATATGAAGTGCTATGCGGTCCGTTTAATTTCATGGTCTGTTTCGAATGTTCTGAAGTAGATTCACTTACCATCGCCTTCAGTCCCTCGCGTACGAGCCCGTGGCAATTTTTTTTCGGAATCAGCTTCAGTTGGAGGGGCTTGGTTTTCCCCAGGCTGTAGAGGATCGCCTTCTTTTGCTTCATATTCGCCTTGTCCTTCACGGTGCCAGCTCTAAAAAAACAGCCGGAAGCCTTGCGTGGTGCCCAGATGCTGCATGAATCGCACTTCAGCACTCCCGCTCGGCTCGAGTCCCGGGGCTCCGCGCGATCCACCGACAATGAGACACGA